ATTGATTGATTGATTGATTGATTGATTGATCCGCTCCTCCTGATTGATTGATTGATCCGCTCCTCCCCCCACCTCCGCTCCGCCTAGACGGCCTTTTGAGCCGATTCCAAAATGGAATCGATTAAGTAATCGATTTCATTTTGGAAACGCCTCAAAGAGGCGCCTGGGCGTGGCGAACTGGCCCGCGCAGGCGCCTCTTTGAGGCGATTACGTAATCGATTCTATTTCGGAATTGCCTCAAAGAGGCACCTGTACGGGCCATTCGCCACGCCCAGGTGCCTCTTTGAGGCGATTCCAAAACGTAATCAATTACGTAATCGATTCCGTTTTGGAATCGGCTCAAAAGGGCACCTGCACCGGCCACTTCGTCGCGCCCAGCCAGCCCGCCGAGGCGATTCCACAATGGAATCGATCACGTAATCGCCTCGCCGGGCCAGCTGGGCGCGGGAAACTGGCCCGTGCAGGTGCCTGTTTGATCCGATTCCAAAACGGAATCGATTACATTACGTAATCGATTCCGTTTTGGAATCGCCTCAAAGAGGCTCCTGCACCGGCCTCTTTGCCGCGCCCAAGCCCCTCAGTAAGGCGATTCCAGAACGGAATCGATTACGTAATCGATTCCGCTTTGGGATCGCCTCAAAGAGGCATCTAGTCGAAGAGGAGATGGGGGGAGGATCGGAGGATCAATCAATCAATCAACCAATCAATCAATCAGGCAATCAATCCGGACCGTGGGAGCAGCGGAGGTGGCGGGAGGAGCAAAGGAGGGGCGGGTGTGGGTGGATGATCGGAGGTGGGGGGAGGAGAAAAAGTGGGCGGATGATCGGAGGTGGGGGGAGGAGCAAAAGAGGCACGAAGGTGGGGGGAGAACCGGAGGAGGGGTGCAGGTGGGCGGAGGCGAGCGGAGGAAGAGAGGAGGAGCGGAGGAGGGGGAAGGAGTGGCGCAGGAGCGGAGGCAAGGGGAGGAGCGGCGGAGGAGCGAAGGCGGGCAGAGGAGTGGAGGCGCGGGGAGGAGCGTAGGCGGGGGGAGGAGTGG